CCTACCCCCAATACAAGTTACAGATAACCACCACCCCTCCACTAACTAAGAACCTATAAATCAGTAAGAGGGCAGCTCCTATGCAACCCCTGTTAATTTCTGTTTACAATCTATCCAACTAAGAATGTTAGCTAGTCAGGGGAGAAACTAGCTGATGGATCAGATAGTAGAAAAACATAACAGCTTAAAGACAGAAAATAACAAAATGACAAATTTAAAAGGCATGTAATTATAAAACATGAATTAATTTTAAAATTGCTCTTAAAAAGTGAATATTCTGAATATTCATTTCAATTTGAAACTTTCCTGAAACACTGGGGGAAAAAACTGAAATGGTACTTCAGTAGAGATTGTGATTTTCTTAATTAAACACAAACACACAAAAATTTACAAATTAAAAGTCAAAAGTTCAGGGTTCTACCATTATGGAAAAGTCACATGTTAGGAAAAAGAAGCAAAATTCTTAATTCTTTTATGTTTACTGACCATAAAACCATTTTATCTCAAACATGATCCAGTACAGTATAACTTTAATGGATTTCCTAAACTCTCTCTGACATTATTCACCAGGATGGAATTCAGTAGGCCAATAGGCCCTGAAGGCCATCTAACAGATTCCCTGTATCTACATATGTATTTTTCCTCATTAAGAAAACCATTTTCCCTGAATAACACATCCCAGGTCATAAACACTTCAAATTTCAACAGTCTTCATGAAAAGGCTTTTATTCATTCATTCAGTATTCATTCATTCAGTATTCATTCATTCAGGCACTGTTCTAAGTGATGAGGTCCTTAGCTTTCACAGAGCTTAGATTTTAGTGGGAAAGACAGACAAAAAATAGTATCAGATGGCAATGAGACTACAGCAGATAACCAAATCACAGTGTCCTGACAGAAAGGAACTAGATGGCTCCTTTAGATTGAGTGGATGAGAAAGGCAACTCTGGAGACAAGACATTTAAGATGAGATCCAAATGACCAAATGGAGTCAGCCAAGCAAAGACCAGAAGTAAAAGCAGAGCAAACCCTAAGGTACAAGTTAACTTGCAATATTTCAGGAATGGAAAAAAAGACAACATGCGTTCTGCATATAGTGGGCAAGAGAGCATGTAGTAGACGATAAGATTTGAGATCACCTAGTGCCTGACAAACCTGGATAAGGAGTTTGGATTTCATTCGTAGTGTGGTGAGAATGCACTAGAGGGTTTTAAGCAGAAGAGTCATATATTATGATTTCCCACTTGGGAACTGGATTGTAGAAGAGCAAAGCTAGAATAGAAGAACAGCAAAGGGGCTAACTACTGCAGTAGTTCACGTGACAGGTGGTGCTGGTATGTTAGGCCATGGCCAGGATCCACTTGTAATAATCCACTTGTTTCAGTGGACATAAACTGAAAATCCCTAGGCTCCTCAGTGTAGACTCTGATCAAGTGGGAGTGCTCGAATGCTAAGAGAGCAAGGTCTTCAAGGCCAGGAATCCCAGTATTAGGCCTGGTGGCTTTGGCTCTCTGAATTGCAGAAGTTACCCTAGATAGTAACAGAACTGTTTCTGGGTAGTCATGTGGCTATCAGACATCTCATTCCACCTGGGGCTGTAAACATCATCAAACTTCAACAGAACTTCCCATAAAATACACAGAATAAGTAAATGACTTAACCCTCTTTCTCATTTTGAAACTTACTTACCAGGAATTTATTTTTACCTCACTAGGAAAAAGTAGGGCCTTCTATAAAGATTTGGATATAACTATTATTAATCTCAACAACCAAAGCAAAAAAAAAGGCAGTCAAATTTTTAGAAAACGTAAATATGGTTGAAAAAAGATCAAAATTAAGACCTAGGTTAGCAAATCCAATCACTCCTAAGCACTCTCTGGCTCGACCTTTGTGCAAATTCTCAATGGCTAGCTGTCAAGAATGTTTGCTGAATAAATTGCCCTGTAATTCATGGTCTGAGCTATCAACCTAGAATAAAAACAAGAAATAAGGTGGTGACAAAGGAATTCTCTAGGAACCATTTCCTCCATGCCACTTTTGTAAAACTTCTATTTCAGTTCTAATTTATAATTTGTGATCGTTCAAATTGAAGCTATAGTCAATGCTTTTAAAAGGCTACTATGGTTAAGAATAATACTTACATTAGATAAGACCACATGCTAAGTGTTTTTCATGTAATATCTCATTTAATCTTTAAACCAAATTTGTCAAACAGAAACTATTCCCCTTACATCCAGATGAAGAAATAGAAGCTTAGAGATATACAGTAGCTTGTCTGATGTCACAGTGCTGTAAAGTGAAGAGACTGGGCTTATAAAAAAATCTGTCTAAATTCAAAGTCCTGTGATCTAAACCATTCTCAATATTTCATTTAAAATCTTAATTAGTACAAAGAAAGACCACTAATTTCTTAAAGCTTTTCAGAATAAAATATAGAATAAAACAAGTTCAATAAATTTGCTTTAAACATTATATACTTTCAAGTATCATATACTGAAATAATTTACTAATTACCAATTCTGTCTATCATTAAAGCAAGTCCTTTCCTCTGCTGGCTATTTCATTAACTTATTCTAGTTACTCTTTATATTTAAACATAAATAAAACTCAAATTTTTACAAAAATATACCCATAATTCACCTTTGCCTAAGACTAGCCTCAATCCTCAGCCCAAATTACTGAGATTACTGTATTTTAATAAAAAGCAAATGATTTTATGACTTTCTAATTATAAGCTCTTACTATGAAACAAATTCACACATGCATGCACATACACACTTTGTGTGAAATTTTCTATCCTTCTACTAAACTTTGGCTGAAAGCTGGCTCCTACTGCCAATATATTCACAGCCTACACCCATTTCTTTTCAACATATGCTTTCTATTAAGGTTGCAAAGAATAGGACACAATAATGAATTTTAAATTGCACATTTAGGCAGAAGATGACTTGTGTAGATAATTGGCATAATAATCCAGTTTCAGATATCTTCCCATCATGTTTCTTTCTCTTGCCTCTAACCAGTAGGAAGTCTTTGCTTTTTAATATAATTTCATCCCCCAAAAATAAAATGAATGCATACTCCCATATGAATGTAACATCAATTTAGAAACACAAATTGTAAGATTTTTCATTACATGATCATATGAAATTGAGCCAGTGACAGATTATGCAGTAAATAATATCCAGGAAAATGTTCATCTACAATCTCTCTTTATACAGATAACATTCTGTGTGACTGCACACTCTATTATATGATCTCTTTCTGAAAGAGACTATTATAAACATTAGAAAGGGTTAGAGCTAAGCCAAAAGTGAAAAGAGTCTTTTGACTTTTATGCTATTAAATCTCAAACAAAACACTGCAAACATTTTTTGCATAAATTCATATAACTTATTTAATTTTTTTTTAACCTAGGATTGGCACAGCCAGCACAGTCCAATAGCCCATCTAGTCTGATATCCTGTCTCTGACAGTGACCAATGCTGGATTCCTCACAGGACAGCATAAACACATAATGTATATAATTATGTACTACTGCACCATTACTCCAGATGGTGGTTAGATTATATCCTGAAAGAAATGAAAACAAAGCCCAACCCCATCCCTTCTCTACTCTACAATTTCCTAAAAGGTGATGAGAAACCTCAGATAAAGCACAAATTTAACCATAAAGTAAGCCAATTCTTTGGTAACATAATGACCAAAAAATGATCTCCTAAAATAAAAAGTTCCACTTAAGATATAGTACCTAAGCTTATCAAAACTCATGATCTGTAAAAGGGTGGGGGGGGGGGGTATCTGATTTACTCAATTAGAATCATTTACAAAATAAATGAGCAAAATTTACTGAAGCTTAAAAAATACTGTATCTTTTACCCATGCTATCCATCTTGTGATATATAACACTGTTTTCTAAAAGCAACATAAAATTTGTACTTTTAACTCTTCAGAGAAATGATATTCACACCTGTTTTGTAATGGTTTTAAAATAAGGGTGGGATTTATTAAATGTTCATCTAAGTGTGCAAAACCACATAATGAACAAACCTTGGTTTAGTCCTTCAGGAAGTACTATTTCTTAAACAATTACAGACAAAAAAAAAAGCACTATACTATTAAAGACCTTTGGAGAAGATATTTCTCTTCGGAGTATAGTTGGGTATTGATTTAACAACGCTTGTAGTCAGGAAACAGTTCCTGACCTTAATCCTCCTCAGTATAGTTTGAATTCATTTTCTCTTTTTCTGTCCTTAATAAGTTGTAAAAGATTAGGTCAGAGCATAATATTTTATACATTTTAAAATCCTTAGTAAGGACTCCTTTATCAAATAACTGGATTACAAGATGATAAACCAAGTAACAGTCTTGTAACTGCATTTTTACATAATTTTTGTATGCTGTATATCACAGCCCAAGAGACAGATCTCAAAAATTACTTACCCATCATTTTTACCAAGCACTACCCTTCCCTCATTATTACACATTTTCTCAAAAGAAAAGAAATAATTATCTACATTTCTGAAACTTAAAAATTCAGAAAAGGAACTTTATGAGAGATGGGAGCAAGAAACAATGCACACTAAATTCCACACAGACACTGCTTCCTTCCCTGGAGGATCATTTAATGAAATGTATCTCCCAAAATCTCTGGGGCAGAGTTGAGGCTGCAGTGCAATACCATAAAATCTGCAGCTGTGTTGCTGTTCTTAATAGGCCACACTGCTTTCTTAGACCTCAGGAAGCCAAAACACACAATTTCAGAACAGAACTTACCTTAACAGGAATTGGCCAAAGAAGCAGAGCAGTTACGATAGATCAGGCATCAAAACTGTTACTGAAAAGACTGTACACATCTTTAGGAATTTTCTCCTCAAGCAATTTGCTTACTCTAGGAAAGGTATATCTCATTATGTTTCCAAACATCAAATTTTTTGGAAATAAAAACAATAGGGTAGAGAAAAAACTTCACTATATATAAATAAGCATTAACAACTTACTTTTATTGCCCACCAAGGCAATCAGTGGCTGAGTTTCTGACTCTTCGCTCACTTTCTTCACCACAGTATACCAGTCTTCTAAATTCTCAAAACTCTGATAATTTGTAATGTCATACACCAAGAGGATTCCCTGTCACAAAAGAGTTACAGGATATTTGTAACATACTACTTGAAAATAAAAATAATAATAATAATAATAATAAATTCTCTTAACTAATGTTTTAGATATGCCTAGAATAGTGTAAAAATACAAATGTGGACTGTTTTATATACAAATTGACTTCAATTTAGTTACTAGCAGACAAATAATAATAAATGTCTTCATTCAAGATAAACTCAAATCAAACAAAGCAAGCTAAATAATTTTATCAAATTACAAGTAGTTTCCCAATAAGATATCTGAGAAATGCTTGATAAGTTATAATACATGTAAGAAAAATATCACAGAGATAGAAAAAGCTGCAAGGTCTACAATCCTGTCTGTTACTTTCATGAGGTCAAACATTTAAAACTTTCAATAAAAGACCATCTGCTGCTGCTCTTTTTAAATATTTTCAAAAATGGAGATTCCATGACATCCCTTGATAGTCTATTTCAGTGTTTTAACACAATTTTATTTCAATGAAATAAGTCGATTTCCTCTTTTGGTCCTCTGTGCATTTGGAGAACAACATGTGAGTATCCTCCTTGTAATAACCCTTCATGTACTTGAAGATAGTTAAGAAACTCCTTTACTGTCTCCTTTCCAGAATAAACAAACTCAATTCCTTAAACTTGCCCCAAAGGACCTATTTTCTATCGCTTTAATCATAGTTGTTGGTTCTTCCCAAGACACTCTCCATATAGTTTTTTGACATCCTCTTTAAAATGAGCAATGTAAAACTGGACATGATACTGTAATAAGAGCATGAACAAAGCCAAATATAACAGAGGGACTGCTTCCTGCCTCTTATATATCATATTCCTTTTAATATATCCCATTATTTTGTGTGGGAAGGAGAAGTATGTACACACACAAAAAACAGTACCACATTCTTGATTCTCATCCAGTTTGTGGCCAAACACTTAATATAAAGCTCTGCATATGTTATGAGTCTGGACCCTAATAGGACTTATTTCTACTTCTTCTTAGGTTATAATCATAAATGTTGACTACTTTTTTGCACCTACAATATACTAGACAGATATCTAGATCTTTCATTAATCATCAGAACAAGCACCCAAAGCTGGTGTTATTATCCTCATTTTACTAACAAACAGAGGTTAAAATAACCAAGGTCATACAGCTAGTTAAGTAACTGAGCTAGAATTTGAATCAAAGACTGAATGCATATAAAGTCAACTCATTCATTCCACAAACATTTGTCTGCCAGCTATATGCCTAACACTGTGCTGGGTACTAGGGGTCTATATTCCAAACCTCAAGGAACTCATAGTCTTGCAGCAAAGCCAAACACATAAACAGACAAGTATATAACACAGAAGTCATGGCCAGTAAAATCTTGGTAAATATTAATCAATTGGCTCAGAAGGTGGCAAGACCGCGGATGGGAAGAGTGTCATTTGTAGCATTTGCCAATTTCTGTGGTGTAAAAACTGCCTTGTGGACATTTTCAAGCTATCAAAGTCACTTCACTGATCACAGAGCTGGGTAGGACACCACTATATAGCATCTCCACCACACAGATACACTAAGTGTAAATAATCTCCAAAGCATAGATAACAAAAATACATAGCAAAAAATTAGTAAGTATGCATTTTGAGCATATATTTGTTTTTAATATAATTTATGTTTATATATAATTTTTAATTATAAATGTATTCAACTGGCTCACAAAAACTCCTGATCTTAACAATAACTCTCCCAAACTGGCTCTAGCATACTACTGTAATGATCTTCCAGCACCATATTCTTTTATTAAACTACACTGGCCTCCAAGTCACTTGTTTTCTCTGAGTCTTGGGTTATTTGCCTCTAAAATTAGATCACTGAGTTAAATAGTCTCTAAGATCCCTTTCTGTTTAAATATTCTATGATTAAGCAAAATCACTTGTCTGATTCATTTCCGTAACTTAAACATCTATTTCTGTCTTCCCAAGTGTATTGAAATAATGATCAACACAGAATTATTTGAAATAATGAGCATAATCCCACTTTTCTTATTAAGAATAAGGCTCAGAACTGACCTCTGAAGAAAACTAATCTTCACCCTACTGACTCCATCTCCAGTGCTCACAAGTAGCAATATACTGTGTTAAAAGAGCTCGGCCCTGGAAGTCAAATCGCTGTTGAGTTATAGTACTGGCCCTACTATCTGTTGACCTTGGACAATGCTTCCGTCACCCACCTTTATAATGACTAAGTGATTAAGTGAAGTAATAAAAAAGACATTTAAAAAGTAACATACTTACACAATTGCTGGTAATGTTTTTTATTATCCTAAATGAAAAAGATTCACTATTTCAAAGCAATTTTAAGGTAGTCTATATACTCATAAATTGAGCCTTAAGACCTATGATGACTCTTAAACCTTAAGAGTTTTGGAACCATTCTAATTAATATATGTAAATCTTCATCTCAACACGAGTCAATAGCTCAACATAACAGAACACATGCAAATAAAATATGGCTACCATCTCTTGCTATCAGTACTAGACAGAGCTATGGAATAAAAAAATGCAATACCACTGATCTAGACCAGGAGTTCTAAGTCCACGGGTCAAATCCATATTTTTAAATAAACGTCCATTGAAATACAGTCATACTCATTATTTTAAGTATTAGCAATAACTGCTTTTGTACTACAACTGCAGAACTGAGCAGCTGCAGCAGAGACAGTGTGGCCTGCAGAACCTAAATCATTTTCTATCTGGCTTGGTAAGGGACAGTTTGCCAGTTCCTGATAGAAACCAATGTGTCACCCAGCCAGTGTGGCTCAGTGGTTGAGCATCAACGCATGCACCAAGAGGTCACCAGTTGATTCCCAGTCAGGGCACATGCCCAGGTTTTGGACTGATCCCCAGTGGGGGCTGTGCAGGAGGTGGCCAGTCGGTATTCTCTCTCATCGATGTTTCTCTCTCTCCCCCTCTCCCTTCTTATCTCTCTAAAATCAATAAAGAAAAAAAATTTTTTAAAAGAGAGAGAGAAACCAATGTGTCCTGTATTTCTCAGTCAACGATACCTATAAATCTTCCAGGACTCATAAGAAAAACAGAAGGATAAGCACTTTTTCATTAATCTAGCTATCTGCCAACTCAAAAATCTATCTGTTCATACACCCTATTCTCAACAACATTTAATGTAAAAACTATGACTTTTATCTTTGTTCCTAAGATGACAATTTTTTTACCAGTTTTGACCTTCACCACTATGGTGAAATTTGGGAAACATAAGAAAACCAAAATCACTAAAATATAAAAGAAATTCCAGGTCAGATGGGATACTAAGTTTATCAGGGTAATCACTTCGTAAAGTATATAAATGTCTATCCACTATGTTGTACACCTGAACTAATATAATACTATATATCAACTATAATTGAAAAATAAAACTTAAAAATAAAGGGGAAAAAGGAAATTGCAGGACTTTCAGTTTCACCTCCAACATGAAAAAGCTTGGAAGTCGTCACATCTGTCCTTACAATCAGAAAAAAAGCTAAACAACCCGAAAATAAATTACTTTTCTTGGATATAACAAAGCTGAGTTTGGCAGGCAAATTTCCACCCTGAAATCTGGAAAGAGAGGTAATTCAGAGAGTCATAACCCAAATCTGCTTACCTAGAGCAGAAATCACTAGAGCCAGTAAATTGTAGAAACATTTAAATGATAAATTTGATGAATTGCTGAAGGTTGAGTGTGGTCTAGCTTGAAAATGAGAAATTCCTGGAGACACAGGAGTGACAGAGGGAGTGAGTTTTACCCCCAGTAAGTCCACCAGATCCTCATGGTAAAGAGTCAAGAAAGATTCTTCCTGGCTCTGGCACAGGAAGGGAGAAAATAACCACTGTAAAATATGCACAGAGCATTATCCAAAAAAAAGGCATACTCACAAAGAGAAAAGCTTAATCAGAGTCTTATGTGATGACATAGAGGAATGGCAGTTCCCCCAATTCCAACCCCTCTTATCTATCCTGTCTCACCTAAGTGGGAAGAGCTAAGAAACACCTGTGAAGGTCACTGCCCAGGGTCACAAGTCACTAAAAGACCACAACTTATTCATAAGAGTACAAAATGTTTCCCCTCCCTCATACTTTACCCAAACAGCAGCAGAGTTCCAGTATAATATTAGTGGATTACAGCTAAAAGAGCTGTAAGACGCAACTTCAACTAAGAAAGAATTCTTTGAGATACCCAGAAAAAAAGGAGAAAAAAACTCAAGGACATAGAGGAATTTGATGTCTCTGGCACATACAGCTCCAGGTAACGTTAAATACAGACTAAGTCCTGGCTAAATTAACATAAAATCTTACAATAAAGGCCTATTTGCCTGAGTTCTTATTACTCAATACATCATGTCTAGCCTTCAACAGAAAATTAAAAAGAACACTAAAGAGCAGTTTGAAAAAAAAAAAAAAAAGGAATCATTAGAATCAAACTCAAATATAGTACAGATTTGGAATTATCACACCAAGGATTTAAAATAATTAAGATTAATATGTTAAAGGTTCTAAAGAAAAGGTAGACAACGTGCATGAATAAATGAGTAACATAAGCAAAGAGATGTAAACTCTAAAGAATAATAAAAAGTAGCTCAGTTGGTTGGGCATATTGTCCTGAGCATTGAAAGGTTTCAGGTTTGATTCCTGGTCAGGGCACATGCCTGGGTTGCTGGCTTGATCCCCAGGAGGAGGCGTGTAGGAGGCAGCCAAACAATGTTTTGCTCTCACATGGATGTTTCTCTCTCTCCCTCTCCCTCCTTCTCTCTCTCCCTCTCCCTCCTTCTCTCTCTCCCTCTCCTTCCTTCTCTCTCTCCCTCTCCCTCCTTCTCTCTCTCCCTCTCCCTCCTTCTCTCTCTCCCTCTCACTCCTTCTCTCTCTCCTTCTCCCTCCTTCTCTCTCTCCTTCTCCCTTCTTCTCTCTCTCCCTCTCCCTTCTTCTCTCTCTCCCTCTCCCTTCTTCTCTCTCTAAAAG